GTTTGTTGTATTCCATCAAAAACCTGTCAGTTCTTTCCTCCACACATCCACAAACAACAGAGAACTTTGCTTCACAGGGCATCAACATGATACAGAATCAAACAAAATTTTAATTATTTGAGCTTTAAAAGGACACAGGCCAAATCCATTTTCTTTTAGGCAGACAGGACCCAGGTTTGTAAAAAAAAAAAAAAAACATCTGTAATAAATCATATAAATAAAGATCATTTTTATAGTATAGTGCCCAGTCCTGGTGGCTGAAGGTATTTTACAATAAAATCAAATCTAAATATTGGCAGCTTCCACACTAACGTGTTTCAGGCATACTGACCCATTCCCTGTACAACAATCCTTTCCAATATGATATACTAGCAAGGTACCCGTTCCATGAACGGACTCAAAAGAATCGATCATCAAATCATTGAGGAACAATGCGCACTGCTTGTGAACGGAGGCCTCACTTGTTTACAATGGCATCTTAGAAGACGGGCTTTCCCAAGATTAGATCTAAATGAAACTAATGAAAAACTGAAAATTAAACTACAGTGACTTCAGACTCCTTATTATAACTGTGCACCCTTTAATTGATTCTGAACCACCGTTAATTTTTTCAAATTCGAAAGCTAAGTGGTTCGAAAGTTTTAGGCGACCAAAGTGATAAACTTTCATAAATATGATATATTTAGGCACACCCCTAATCTGACAAATATACAAGAGACAACCGCTGTGACTGCCTATCACACTTGGTGTTTATAGAAGAATCAAACTACATTCTGGGAAAAAAGAACTTAAATTAATGTGTCACGATGCAGTGGGAATCAGGTGCTCGTCAATTTTTGGGCATATGGAGTTATTGGTATCATCTTAACGGTTGTTCATTTGCCTTGCTTTTGATGAAAAAATATCCATTTATCTTGAATAGAAGTCGAAATACTTGAGATTGAAGGAGGTGGGGTCGTCTGGTTTCAGAAGAAAAATTAGCGAGAAAATGGCCGCCAAAGTATGGGGACTTCAAAAGCTTAAGAGTCCTTAGAAACTGCAAATTTACAGTTTTGTGCCTTTACTTTAATCAACGTTTTTCTGTAAAAATCCACACATAAAAGTGTTTTTGAAAGGACATACAAAATGTTGAGCCAAAAAACAAAAATTCAATAAAATTACCAAACTGGACGAAAAATGCCCATTTCTCGGATTTCATTATTTCGACGAGCGCCTGATTTCGCCACGATACATCACAAATGGGTCTATCCACCAGCTTCAATCCAATCAACAAAGGAGCCTATGTTAAGGACAATGGGAGGGAATTTCAAAGAAGAGAAGAAAAAAAGCTACTAAAAGTTTATTTTGACTGATCGTGCCCCATACCTGATGGTGTCCCACTGGTCAACTCCGTCCAAAGGCTTCGTTCCGTTGAGGGAGCCCTGTGCCAGGCCCACCAGCGTGGGGAACCAATCAGAGACGTGGATCAGCTCTCGGTTGACCACTCCACTGACCGGAAGCCTCCCGCCGGAGACAAAACCCACACCGTGGAACCCACCCTCCCAGAGAGAGGCCTTCCAGCC